GCGCTACCACTTGAGTCACATCCCCAGCCCTTTATGGGAGCATTTTGATTGATCTGGAGAGAGTCAACCATGACAGTAAAAAAAATCTAATGCAGGTGCCATTCAAACAAATAGCAAAGTAAAAGAAGAAATGCATGATGTCAGTCTACATTTTGTTAATAAATACTTAAAGATATATGAAATCACTAGCTCATCTCAGCTGTGTTCAATGTATTATATATAATACCTTTTTAAATTTTTTATTTAATTAGTTATATATGACAGTAGAATGCATTTATGCACTTTGATAATCATATATAGATGGGATGGATATAATTTCTCATTTTTCTGAGTGTACATGTTGTACAATCATATTGGCYATGTAGTCACATATTTACATAAAGTAATAATGTCTGTTTTATTCTACTATCGTTCCCATCCCCACATCCCCTCCCATCACTTCCCTCTACCTAATTTAAAGTAACACTATTCTTCCCTAGTGCTCTCCGCCTTATTGTGAATTAGCGTTCGCATATTAGAGAAATCATTCGGCCTTTGGTTCTGTGGATTGGCTTATTTCACTTAGTATGATATTCTCCAATTCCAACTATTTACTGGAAAATGCCATAATTTCACTCTTCTTTGAAGCTGAGTAATATTCCATTGAGTTTATACACCATATTTTCTTTATCCATTCATCTATTGAGGGACATCTGGGTTGGTTCCATAGTTCAGCTATTGTGAATTGAGCTGCTATAAACATTGATATGGCTGCATTACTGTAGTATGCTGATTTTGAGTTCTTTTGAGTATAAACCAAGGAGTGGGATAGCTGTGTCARATGGTGGTTTCATTCCCAGTTTTCTAAGGAATTTCCATACTGCTTTCCATAGTGGTTGCATCAATTTGCAGTCCCACCAACAATATATGAGTGTATACCTTTTTAATCCATGCATAGAATACATGAGTCTAGTCAAAAGGATCTTCTTTGAACATTTTCATCACTTGGCTTCTATGTTAATAGTGTTTTCTGGTTTCTCTCTAATACACAGGCTGTACCTTTTATGATATTTCACAATTGTTATTACCAGTTGGTGGGATTCTGAGTGGTTTCTTTTTTCCCCTGTTTTCTTATTTTCTAAATTTTCCAAGATGAGACTTAATTTTTAAAAAATCCAGTTCTATTAAGATATAATTCACATACCACATAGTTCAGTCATTTAAAGTGTACAATTCCATGATTTTTTCCTTTTCTTCACATTCACCATTACCACAACCTAATTTTAGAACTTTCATCATCCCTAAAAGGTACCCTGTACCCTTTGGCAGTCACCGCCCATTCCTCCTTCCCTTCTTAGTCCTAAGCAACCACTAATTTATTTTCTATTTCAATAGATTTGCTTATTCTGTATATTTCAAGAAAAATGGCATCATAATATGTGTCCTTTTGTGTCTGGCTTCTTTGACATAAGTTTTTCATGGCTCATCCATCTGTAYCGTGTATGCATATTTCATTCTTTTTTATTGCTGAAAAATCATTCATTGTATGGATATACCACACTCCAACCCATCCATCAGTTAATAGATATTGGCTTGTTTCCAATTCTTGGCTACTGTGAATAATGTTGCTATGAACATTCTTGTTCATGTTTTTTGGGGACTTATGTTTTCAATTCTTCTGGCATATACCTAGGTGTGTAGAATTGCCAGGTCACATGATAAGTTAGTTTAGCACTTTGAGGAACTGCAAAAGTGTTTTCAAAGTTGTTCACCATTTAACATACCAATAATACATGAGGGTTCTAATACATGGTTTTTCTACATCCTTGCCAGCATTTGTTATTGTTTGTGTTTTTGATTATAGCATCCTATGTATGGAAGTGGCATCTCACTGTCACTTTGATTTGGATTTATATAAATTCTAATGATGTTGAACATGTGTTTATTGGCCATTTTCATATCTTCATTGGAGAAATGTCTATGCAGATCCTTTGCCCATTCTTTAATTAGGTTATTTGTCTTTTCAYTTTTTAGCTGTGAATTCTTCATATATTTTGAATACAAGTCTCTTATCAGATATATGATTTGCAAACATGTTCTTCCATTCTGTGGATTGTCTYTTTGTTTTCTTGATATACTGTCATTTGCAACAAAAAAGTTTGTAATTCTGATGAAATCCAATTTATCTATTTTTCTTTCATTGCTTTATATTAAAAAATTGTCTAGCCTAAGGTTACAAACAGTTACTGAGAATTTTATAGTTTTAGTTTTTGCATTTAGGTCTTTGATCTATTTTGAGTTGAATTTTGTTGTGGCAAGAAGGGTTCGAATTTCATTCTATTGCACGTGGATATCCACTTGCTCTAGCATCATTTGTTGAAAAGACTATTCTTTCCCTRTTGAATTGTCTTTGCACCCTTGTTTAAAACCATTTGACCATAAATACAAGGGTTTATTGCTGGAGTCTCAAATCTATTCCATTGACCTATATGCCTATTCTTATGCCGGTACTACACTGTCTTGATTATTGCAGTTTTGTAGTAAGTGTTCATATTGAGAATTTTGGTTTTTTTTTTTTTTCAAGATAGTGTCAGCTATTCTGGGTCCCATACATTTCAATGTATTGCTTTTATTCTTTGTGTGTGTGTGAGTGGGTGGGGGGAGGTTTTTAGAGAAAGAAGAGAAAGAAAGATAGACATTGCTGAAGGAACTGTGTGATTTACTTTGATTTCTGAATGATTACTCTGCAGCACATCTTTTCTCCTGGGTGGGGGAATTTCTCCTTGGTTTTGTCTTTGTTACAGTAGTTTTCTGTTTGTTTGTTGCACTGTTGATGAACACTGTGTAGTGTGGACTCAGACAAGGCCTTGTCTCCTACCTTGAGTCACCGGATGCTGAGAGGTTATTTCCACAGGAATGGGAGTGGGGAGCATGGATCTCACAATCCCCCGTACACTCCTAGCAAAGTATTATCACATTCTTTGCTGTGATTGATATAGCTGATACACTGTTTTGACTGTATACCTCTTCAGCAATCACTTTTGAGTATGTATCTATATATCTATATATATATTTTGCACATTCAGTTTAAGTATACAAATATATATTCCTTGATTCATTTATAAGTTATATACACTAATAATTATTATATATTAAAATCATACATGCCAGGCGTGGTGGCACATGCCTGTAATCCCAGCTGCTCTGGAGGCTGATGCAGGAGGATTGCACATTTGAAACCAGCCTCAGCAACTAAGCAAGGTTGTAAGCAATCTAGTGAGATCCTATTTCAAAATAAAAAGTAAAAGGGCTGGGGATGTGTCTTAGTCGTTAAGTGTCCCTCAGTTCAATCTCTGGTGCCAAAAATCAAACAAAAAATGAAAACAAAAACATATGCAAAATGGAAGTTTTAGAGAATGAGATTTAAAAATGCTTAGAAATAGAAGTCTTCCCACACTTCAGTGGCTTTTTTTTTTTTTTTTTTAATCTCCCTGTAGACTGCCTTCTTGGATTTTACCTGTGTGTGTTTCTAGCATCCATCCAAACAGGTCCTAGTAAACAGCAGAAGCTCATGTCTTCAAAAGAAAAAAAATCAGATCTCCTACTATTTTTATTATATTATAAAACACTACCTCTATTTCTAGGTTTTGCATTAGCAAGTAAAGTTTCTTCGTTTATCGTCTGCTAGGATCAATTTGTGGAAGGTTGTGTGTTCCTCATTGCTCAGGTCTTCTACCTTTCATTGCACCTCATCTGACTTATTTATTTACAAAATAGTGATTCTATCATCTTTAATGTATACTCTTCATTTCATACCACGTTGGTCAAGCAGAGTCCTGCATAAAGAATYGAAAACAATGTCTCTATTCAGGGTGGCATCAAAGGAAGCTCTTGGGTATTGAAGTCAGAGAGGGATTCAGGGAGCTGGATTTTAAAGGACAAGTAGACTGTTAGCCAAATGAAGACAGGAAGACCATTCCAGCTGACTTCAGAAGCAAAGGCAGGAATATGAGAATCAAGGGGAAAATTTGGTGGAGCTGAACACAAAAGGCAATGGTGATTGCAACTCTGTGGGGTTTTGTTTGCTTGCAGTATTGGAGATTGAACCCAGAGCCTTGTGTATTCTATGCATCACTGACCTACATCCCCAGTACTTTTTTTGAATTTTACTTTGAGATAGGGTCTTACTAAGTTGCTCATGATGGCTTTCAACTTGAGATCCTCCTGCCCCAGTCTCCCAAGTAGCTGGGATTACAGGTGACAGCCACCCCCTCTAGAACATCTGTTTTCAATAGATCACTCTGGAGATTCTGTGGAGTATTTGAGTCTTGAAGTTGAAAGTAGAGAGAGGTTGTTGGTTGCCTGAAGAGTAGGGCACAATTATAGATAACTACAAGGCAGAAACCTCTGCGCAGAAGCCCAAACTAAAACTGTCAAACTATTTTAGTACTTTATTTAGAAAGTTCTTTTTAGGATTTTAGCACCTAACTTCTTTTTTTTTTTTTCTTTTGGTCCTGGGAGTTGTTGCCCTTTCCCTTTGTCCCCATGACGCTTTATACCTTTATTAGATAATTACGACTTATTTCGTGAGAATCACGGGGGCTGGCTGGGGATGCTGTTTCTGGATTTCCGTTTGAGGCCTGCGGCTAAAGTTATACCCTGAGGTGCCTGGCCACACAGGTTTGCTCAAGCAAGGGCTTGTAGAGAAGGCTTCATTCCATCTCTGCCCCCATTAAATCAAACCGCCTCCACACAAAAAGAGGCTCAGACACATCTGGACAGAAAAAAAGCCTCCGGGTGTATCGGGAACCACTGGGGTGGTCTAGGCCGGCCAGACAGCTCAGCTCTCCACTTCCTTTCCGGGTCTCAGCTCTGTCTGCCCACAAGAGAAAGAGGGACCTGGCCACAGGGCGYCCTCGGGGTGGGCCCTGTCACCGCCACGCCCTCGGTGGGCGTGGCCTCCCTAGGGTAGCCTTAGTGACGGCGCCGGCCCCGCCCTTCCCGAGGGCGGGGCGCGAGCGCGCGCGAGCTGGGCCCAAGCTGGCCTGGGAGCCGCGGATCCTAGCGCAGCTAGGGTGGCAGCAGCGACGCGATGGCTCCGGCTTTGGACCGGGAGGGTTACTGGGGCCCTACGACCTCCACACTGGACTGGTGCGAGGAGAACTATTTTGTGACCGAGTATGTCGCCGAGTTCTGTGAGTGTGGCCTGAGGCGGGGAGCGAGGGACTAGGGACACCGGGCTGAGTGGAGGCGCCGTGTGGAGAAGGCAGAGGACGAACCTGGCCGCGAGGGGAGGCACCAGGCCTGGCGTCCGGGGCCGCGGGGGAAACAGGAGTGTGGTCAGGGGTGTCCGGTGTGTCGAGGGAGGACTGCCGGAATCCGGTTCGGCTGGCCTTCACATTGGGGTCGGATGGGAAGTGGGGAGCCCCTGTCCGACCTAAGGGGGCAGCCTGCGAAGCAGGGCTGGAAATGGGAATTCCTACCTGTCGGCGGAGTGGAGACAGGCAGCGCCAGAAGGGGTCGGGAGAGTGGAGGTCTCTGCTTATTGGAATGAGAGCCCAGGACACCTGTTCTACTGTTGTCACCCCCTCCTCAGCCAGAGGGGAACACTTCCTTGCTCCGTCTTCCCCCAAGTCTGGGAAAACTCTAAGGTCTTTCCAGTCTTCTTTCTCTTTCCTTTTTTTTTTTCTCTCTCTCTCTATATTTAGTTGTACTTGGACACAGTACCTTTATTTTATTTATTTTTTTAATGTGGTGCTGAGGGTCGAACCCAGCGCCTACCCACGCTAGGCGAGCGCTCTACCGCGGAGCCACAACCCCAGCTCTCTTTCTCCTTTCTTATATGACCCCCCTCACCATCTCCAGGGAACAGTTTTATGATCTCAGAGATCCAACTCCCTCTCCCATATCTTCGGGTACCAGAAATGATCTGCTAGTACTATTCAACTCCCATCTTGCTTCAGAAGTAGAAGGCAGAGGATCAAGTACCTTTCTGCTTGTGCCAGCCTTCCAAGGGCAGGAGGGACCAAGTCATTGATTCACTGTGAACTTCATCAGACTTCCTAGGGGTTAATGGTCATCTGAGAACCCTGCTTCCACTAACCACACCTTCTGGGAACTTAAGAGTCCTCCTCAAGCCTTTGCTCTAACAGGCATTGCTGGCCAGGTCTGGGTTGTTGTTGGTGGTGGTTTTGTGTGTGTGTGTGTGTGTGTGTGTGTGTTTTCCTAGATAATCATTTCTGCCAGATTTGAGAGATTTTCTATTGTTTATTTTGGTCAAGTTTTTTTTTTTTTTAAACATACGTTGAGGGGCTGGGGTTGTGGCTCAGAGGTAGAGAGCTTGCCTACTACGCATGAGGCACCAGGGCCGCGGGGGAAGCAGGAGTGTGGACAGGGGTATCCGGTGACTGAGGACTGCCGGAATCTGGTTAGGCTGGCCTTCACACATAAAAAAATAAAGATATTGTCTCCATCTATAACTRAAAAATAAATATTAAAAAATACGTTTTTTTTTTAATAGATCTTTTTGTTGTTGTTGTTGGAGATGGACAGAATACCTTTATTTTATTTATTTGTATGTGGTGCTGGGGACCGAACCCAGTGCCTCAGCATGCTAGGCAAGCACTCTACTACTGAGCCACAACTGCAGCCCCTATTTTGGTCAAGTTTTAAGAGCACAGGGTTTCATCCTTCTTTCAAGTACCTGCTTCTGCAAGATGCAGAGACAATCTAATTCTTTGATTATTACTGCCTTATTTTAATTGAATCCACTTTGTCAGGACATGAGGCAAAACTCTTCGTAGCCAGCCTTATTACTGACTCCTTCTCCCAGGCATGTGTGTTTGGCTTTGTAGAAAAGAGGCAAGATCCCAGGTCTGGTGGCAGGCCTGTAATCCCAGAATCCCAGCGACTTGGAGGCTGAGGTAGGAGGATCACAAGTTCAAAACCAACCTCAACAATTTAGCAAGGCCTAAGCAAATTAGGAAGACCCTGTCTCAAAAGAAAAAAAAAAAAAGAGGCTAGAGTTTCATACCAAATAATCTTCCTTTATTCTGGCCCAGTAGTTGGCTATTAAAAAGAAAGAAAGAAAGAAAACTTTTTTTTTTTTTTTTTTTTTTTTTGTAGCTTTTGGGACTTGATTTGGAGGAAGTAGAGACCATGATAGGGCTGAGAATCATTTTTCCTGAGCTATTAGATTTTTACATAATAATGGAGAAATATGGGCAAAGGGATTATTTGTAGTGTAATTACTTGGCAATTCGAATATAGGTTAAGGAAGCATTTTATCAATTTTTTAAAAAAATTATTTACACATGACAGTATAATGATCTTGACATACATTTGAATCAGATGGGGTATAATTTCTCATTTTTCTGAGTGTACAGGTTCCAGAATCACATTGGTCATGCAGTCACGTATATACATACAGAAAATTTTAAAAATATCTTTATTTTATTTTTATGTGGTGCTGAGAATCGAACCCAGTGCCTCGCACATGCTAGGTGAGCGTGCTACCACTTGAGCCACATCCCCAGCCCATTTTTCAAATTAATTGCTTTGGCAAGCCCATACCTGGTCCAGAAGACCATGATCATGAGAGAGAGAGAGGATTTAAAGCTATTCTCTCTGAGTTGGAAATGTAGAACTTTTTTTCTTTTACTTGGTGTTTCAAATATTGGATGGACTCTCATATATAATAGTTAACTTTTCCAGTTTCTCTAGAATTTAGAATTGGGGCAATGGATGGAGAAAACTAACATAAGGAATAACTTCAGCATAAAGAAAATCTTTCTAATGATATTATCACAGAACCAGTTGGCTTAAGGATAAGAGGACTTTCACTAAAGGTGTTAGAGCAGACATTGCTCAGCTAACTAATGTGAGAATCTGAGGAGAAATTAACTAGTAGAAGAAAGGAGCCTGAGTTGGCCTTTGATTTCCTGCAGCCTTTTTGGTCTACATAAGTATAATGACTTTTAGTTTAGAACCAAGGCTTTGGATTAGAATCAAAAGAGAATACTGGCAGTTGATCATGTGAATTATAAGAGAGCAGATACTAGTATTCTGACAGATAGCTCTGAGAAATAGGAAATGGCTTTAGTTCTCAATGTCCTCAGAAGAGGAAACTGAGCAGACTGCAGGAAGGTTTTGACACAGGAATCTGAGGGGTTGCAAGAAGAGGATGAGTGCATATGTTGGCAGCCCTTTGCGCATGTATCTTGGGAGAAAATGATTTGGAGGAAGTTGAGGTCAAATGCCACAGCAAGTGGTGGGTGTCTGTTATAACTTGAAATAAGAGAAATGGATCTTTGAAAAATACTGATTAGTAATAATATGTTTAAAATATGTGTTCAAAATAAATGCCATTTTATCATTATATTTATATTAATGACAACATTAAGGATGATAGTAATAATAGTTGTTACCTGTATGTTTGCTGTGTTCCACAACTTGCTAAGCATTTCATATAATTTATCTCTTTTGATCTTTACAATAATTTAAAAAAGAAGGTATTATTATCTCTCACAGTTTAGAAAATTGAGTTTTTGAGAACTAATTTTATACAGTCACAATAAATGGTGTAGAGACAGTATTCAAATTGAGATGTGATTCTAAAACTGTTAGACTGTATTGCCTTTCCCTTCATTCTTTCAATTCAAGGGGGATAGGATAGACAAGAAATCCTATTCTATCACAAAAGATAAATTGAATAGCAATTCAGGTTATTCAAGTATCTTTCAACTATTCAATTATCTTTCAGCAATAGAGTATATATTTTGAGGTTATAATAATGAGTTTGGGCAATTGTGTGTCACTTTCAGTACCTGAAAAACTATCTTTTTAGCATGAACCAACAACAATTCAAATTCCTTTTCATTTAAGCAGATTGTAAGAACCAGGGAAAAGGGCAAAGGGTCTCTCTTTATTTGTGAAATAATGATCCGATTGATGCCATATCTTTTAAGTATGGGAATCCTCATTTTGTCTGGTAGTATGGGACCATACAAATAGCCATGCACATCAAAACTAGACAAAACAGTCTTCATAATCAATAAGAAAAGTTAGAATTATTCTGTGACCTTTAAATTTTTTTGTTAAACATTGTATAAACCCTCTTATTGTTGGTTATAAATATGTAGGGGAATGAGAAAGAAGTAGAACTAATATTTTTTACACTATACTTAAATAATTGAAAACACAGGTATTAAAATGTTTTATTTCTTTGTAAAATAGCTTATCAAGAGTAGTTTGGGGCAAGAGTAGAGCGCTTGCCTAGCACATATGAGGCACTGGGTTCTATCCTCAGCACCACATAAAAATAAATAAAGTAAAGGCACTATGTCCATATACAATAAAAAAATATTAAAAAAAGAGTGGGCTGAGGTTGTGGCTCATAACATTGTACTTTCATAACATTGAAAGTACAAAGAATAAAATGTTGTAAGCCAATTCAAATTTAGAAATGATTCATAGAGGCACAGCAATTTATTCCATGCCATAAATTGTGGGAGGAGCAGACAAGCACTTTACAAAGTACTCTTTTTTTAAAAAATATATTTTTAGTTGTAGATGGACACAATACCTTTATTTTGTTTATTTGTTTTTTTATGTGGTGTTGAGGATCGAACCCAGTGTCTCATGTGTGCTAGGCAAGTGCTCTACCACTGAGCCACAGCTCCAACCACATAATATTCTTTTAGTGTTTATGTAATAATGGGATTTATGGAATGAAGATCTAGCAGCAAAGTTTGGACTATATTCAATTTCTCACAGTTAATAAACAGTGACAACTGCAATTTGAATTTTGTTGTCGGGAGATTGGCATTATTTAACTAAACTCTGGTAACTGAAATTTGTGCCTGCTGAAACTCTACAAAGTAAAGATTGCCTATGTATTAATAATGTACAGAACATTCCTATTAAGGAGATTAATGTTACATCTCCCACTCCCCACTTTTTGGGCTACTAGGGATTGAACCCAGTGTAGCTCATTCTACCACTGAGCTATATTCCCATCCATTTTATTTTGAGATGGTCCTTGGTAAGTTGCCAGGGCTGACCTCAAACTTTTGATCCGCCTGCTTCATTTTCCTGAGTAACTGGGATTACAGGTGTACCCAACTGATTCTGGCTGTTAGCCCATTTTAAAGAAGAGGAAATTGAGTTTTAGAGAAGTTAAGAAACCTGCTTAGTG